GGTCGTGTATGGTCTTGTTAGGCCATCCAAGACACTGTAGATAGTAGTTCCAATGAAAATCACTGGAAAATGCACTGGTGCTGAATGTTTCAGAGTAACTTCCACTGAAACTGCATGCAGTTAATTTCATTGGATTGCTGATTCTGAATTTCAGCTGATCACCCTCGATTCAGCACCATCCTTTCAGTAGAAAATTTACTGAATTGGATTCAGCTCCGCATGGGTCGGGGCCCGTGTTTTAACTGGTACCCTGGCATACCCATGCCTTCCTAATATGGTAATTTGTTTGGCGTTCAGTGTCAACTTGGAATCGAGACTTTGATGAGATTACCATATGAAACTTATGTATACATGAAGCTAATCACTATCCAATGTATCCGAACCGTCTCCGATCTGATCGTTGCCACCAGGTGCTAACCACCGGTCGATGATAAAGGTTTCACCTCGTGTCTGTACTCGGCCAACAACTGCCTTGATGTTTCGTGTGTCCGTGACTACTGGTGCAACAGACTCTTTGTATCCAACTGGGGATATTGACGCATCTGTTCCATCCGTCTTGCATGGTGTTATAAGTGCAAGGATGAGTGTCGTGTTGCGTAGGAACCTGTAAACTTTGTGTTCACCAAGCTCACAAACTAAAATTTTATCCAGCTGGCCGTAACCGATCACATCAACAGGTTGTGACCCCCCCGCGTCAGAATATGAGACTTCAAACTACATCAAAAAATAAATAATGTCAGCTGCAGCCACACTCAAGGTGAAAATACTCACTCGAACGAATGAATTGTCGCGATACTTTGCATTGCTCACACCCCTCAGAGCATATTTAGTCCTGATCGAATCACCACCACTGATTATCCTCATTTTCCCCCACAGATGCATCACAAATGGCAAGTGCACTGCAAGATCATTGCACCGTCCTCCAAGAACCTGGGAGAGATACACTCTGATTCGTTTGTGGGTGTCTTCATCAGGTGCATAGCTTGAACAACACGGTGTTCGCAAGACAAGTTCAGGATCTGGTCCATAAGCCTGCTATTAAGTGTTGCATTAAACTCACGACTTCCATGACTTACAGTTTTCGAATGATTGTTCATTCTCTAATTCTTGTTGTCCACGGCGTGGATTGAGGTCTTTGAGCTCATCTTGGAGGTCAAACTTGCTACTGAGTTGGCTAAGGTATGCAGTGTATAAAACAACACAGGAAAGACCACTCCACGGGTGCCGTTTCGAACGGAGACCAGTTTTGAGGTGCAGGCAATACCGCTCAACATAGAATGTCCAGTGGACCCAAGCAGGTCCACACATGCACAGGTCTTTTGCGACATGCAGACATCCATGAATTGGGAGTGTGCAAACTGCTAACCTATCTTCCTTGAATTGATAGTAATAGCTGTTGGCATCGAGTGAGAATATTTTAAATGGAAATTGATTTAGTTACCGCTCGAACTCTCTAACCCACTCCGCAAACCCTCGCTCAAGATTATTGATCTCTTGTGTGGTGATTTCGAGCTTGACAGATGTCTTCATCAAGGAGATGAGTTTGCACATGTAGATGTAGTATTTGACCTGTGGAAAGCGATTTCGGAGCATGATGGGTGCAATATGAATGAACCAGAAGCTCCAAGCTTCGGTTGTAAAGGTTGATCTATCAACAGCAATATTACCTAGAACCCGCACAAAAGCAGTAGGTATTTCCTTCACCGCCTCCACTGTTTCAGCGCCAATTTCTTCCCAGACATGTGGTGCAAGTTCATAATCCTCGCTGCCAACATCCAACATCTTGTAATGCCCCATCCACAGGTCAACGAGTTGTGGGATAATATTCTCGAGGAACAGGTGCATCCATTCCCAAGGAGCACAATTTGCATAATCAATCGAATTGACACGACGGAGTGATGGCTCCCCCTTTATTCCATGTTCTTTTGCAAGGTGCTCTCTCTGGCGCTTTGTTACCGTAGCATCCAACTCCTCCAGGACACCAACAAAACCCTCATGTGTGCGTAAAGGGAGGTCAAGGGGATTATATGATTGGCAGGTCTGATTTTCTCGTCGAGGTGTTGTGAGAGGTGTATAATAGTTTGTCCCTCGTGCACTGATCTTGTGAACACCTTTCATCTCGCAAGATCTGCACGGAGAATATCCATTGTGTCCTTTGATATTCAAAAGTTTCTCGATGGCAATGATATCCCCGTTCTTGAAAATGTTATAGGCATAGAGGTAAAAGTTGGTTTTATCAGATGCATCAAAGGTTCGAATACCATCGGCAAGTTCAGCAAGCTCGTTGTCGAGAGGGCAGATAAATGATGCAAGATCTTTGGGCTGATGAGGACCAGGGATGACACCAACACACCGAACATTTTCGAGGTGTGTTTGGACGAGAGGAGGAAGGTTGAGATTCATTAGGAGGAGTGGTGTTGCAGATGGACCACTTTGACGACGATTAAAAAGCAGAAAACCGTCCACTGACAGCGAGAACGCTATGTCATGCTTTCCGGAGAAGAATTTGTGTTGCCATTTGACGTCATCAACCATAACATCGGTCTGACATAGCGTGCGATACCACTCTGAGTCAAAGACATCTCGAATGATGCCAGGCTCTCCGACATAGTTCTGCCGATATGAAAGCAGTTGTATCATATCTGGACTCTGGAAAAATGCCTGAAGACGGGGAATGAGGGGGAGATATGAAAAATGTTGCCATGCACGTCCACCGGCATCATAGCATGATTCATTGCAAAAAGGACATTGGATATGATGGGAATAGTCGTCGGTATATGCAATACACGAGTTAATACAGCAATCATAGTTGATCAGTTGAATACCTGATAATGTGGCAAGGCGGCACAGAATGACCCATTCAGAGTCTATTGTCATTTTGTGCCGAAAAGACTGCCACATGCGATCAAATACACGATGAGGAATGTTCCCGACCAGCTTCAGCTGGAATGCACGGATGTTGTTGCGATCCTCGTCAGTGAGTATATCATTACCTAGGTTACATTAGAATTAGCATTCGTATTTGAATATAAATACATACAGAGCTCATGCGTCTCTTTGGCCTTCATCGGACCTCGCCAATCCTCTAGCTCAAGAATCATGGTGTTGAGAGTCATGATGGTATGGTGGTCCACGTCATCCTCATTGAAATCATACAAATCATGAGCCTCCAATGTAGCAGACCCGTCAGAAGAGGTACCATCTAAACTAGACTCGGATGACTCGTCAGCACGATGGGAGGAGTGTGATGCTGCATCCTGGATGATCATGGAAGAAAGCTGTGAATCATCCTCAGCATCTGAGTCTGAGCTACCGAAATCAGAGCATAGTGCTTCATTGGGGTCTGCAGAGGCGTAGTGTTTCTCCCTGCGAGAGCGAGACAAGAACTTATAGCAAGAAGGTGCATGGCGGCAGCGTTTTTTGGCCTCTGGAGGCATGTAGTGTCTTGTCTGTAGATAGTTTGCCACTGGCGATAGCAGAAGTCAACATTTGTTCTGATTGTCAAAGTGCGTGGTCAATGTGAATGTTGAAACATTGACAAACAAGGGTCAATGCACTCTTCTATTAGTTATAGTACATCAATGGTGATTCTGCACACAAGGACCCCACTAGTACATGAAGTGTTCAAAAAGCTAGAGCTGACCATCAAAGACACTGACTACGTAGCTATGATTAGTCTGAGTGATGGCGACCGAGTTCACTTGTAGGCAAAATAAGTGTACAATTAAAAATAATGGGACATTGGACGTACAGATGTGTTGTAGTGATCAAAGGTGTTGCCTCCAATGCAGGAGTGAATCCACCTGTCAAAGTCAGTAGAGATGGATGCGTCCTGAAGAACTTCCTGTTCTATGACGAGCGTGGTTTGCTCATTCAATAGCACGTCCATTGCATAGAAGCATGTGTGGACATGTATTGTGACTGGGCACGGTTTGGGGAGGGTTAGTCTCCTGAAACTTAATGCTGCCGCCATACAACAGATGTCCGCAGCCAGTGGATGGAGCGCACTTGTACTCGACAAATGCACCATGTACATCAGTGGAAAGGCACTGCGAAGCGGCCTTGTCGAATTAAGCCTGAAGAACAGGTTCAAGAGACATAGCGCAAATACCACAGACATTGAGAATTGACTGGAGAACAAATCAGAATGTTACTCATAACAACAGCAAAGATGAAACTCACCTCGTAGTACACCCTCGCAACCTCCTCATGAGCCCTCTTATTGTGCACCTCGCACTCGGCCATCAAACCCATCTGCAGACCCATAACACCAACAAAACAGGCCCAATAGCCAGCTGTTGATCATGCTTGCGTCTGAGCCGCCTGCGGAGACTAGGACGATGAGAGTCGGTGATACAGAGAGGTTGTTGACGAGTGTGAGATGCCAGAAGAGAGAACTTCGGCTGCATGCATGTTGCAATTTGGCCTGGGTCAAGTGTGTTAGCGTGATGAGTAAATATAACTAAAAAAAATCGGTGATGGATGAGGGAACGAGAGCGTGATACTCCACCATTTGGCTTGGGGCAAAATGGGCCATACCAGCCTCATGGTAAGGAGGGGAGGTAAAGGAGCCAATACTAGATTGAGGCTTACCGATTCAACGAGATCCCACTGAGGGGAGTCATGCGTGGTGCTCGTATCGGCAGTCTGGAATGAGCAGGATCCCTGGTACTAACTGAGGTAAACCAGTTCTGCCTTTTATGCTTTTCACCCCCTGGCACACCAAAGGGAGTTACACGACAAGGTGGGCAGAGCTCTGAGAACACACAGCAGTCACTTTGATGCCCAGGGACCTAGATGCACAAGTTAACGGCGGACTAACACCTCAACACCTGCGGCTCTGATTTTCTTCAGGTCCCGGAAGGCTCAGGATCGTGCATCCTTTATAGCTCGTCCAGCCACACTGCAGATGCCGTGTTTAGCCATGGTGTGAAAGAATAACGACTATCAAGCCAGTAAATAGATGACCTGTATCTGTCAAAGCGCCAACCTACAGCACATTCAACACAGATCAGCGAGTCCAAGAAGATGCGAAACAAAAATTGATCAGATTCATGATGACAAACAAATTCTCACGTGCCTTGAGTGTCTGGTAGTGACGACAACCCTTCATTATTTGATGTGAGCTGCCTTCAATTTGTATCCTCATCACGGAACATGAGCTTGCTTCATGCAGATCCCAGTTATAAACACGATGCTAGCGCGAAACTCTGAGTGGGACAAGGCCCTCCAAGACTCAGTCAAGGTCAGATACTCTGCATATCATGCCACTGTTGGTGCTGACTCTGATTCTTGATGCAGTCCATTGCTATCCAGCCCTCATTATTGGGCTACATTTCCAAGGCCATCGCACTCCGTGCCAACGAGCAGCTCTGGGACGTGACAGAAGCATTTGATCTTGCGTTCGTATTTTCGAATCGTGATCCAATCACCGTCGATCTTTTACTGTTGATCAAGGTACTCCCATCGCTATCTCAGAGTCTGTCTGTCATACTAATACTTTGATGTCATCTTGTCCAGGCTGTTGTACTTTTCAATGCCGGTCGCCACGATGAGGCGATGAGGCGAGTCCAAGACCTCACCACCGCTTGTCATCACTTGGATACACTTCCGTGCAGTGTTATCAACGTGAGCTTTGCGTCATACCTCACGAGTTTTCTCATTTTCGAACACACTCCTCAGTCATATCTACGTGTGCAGCTTGCAATAATTGCTTTTGATGACAGGCGGTACAGCGAAGCCGCCGATCAACTGAACGATGTCATGCCTAGTATAACCGACATGTCCTCTTATCGAATGCCCTTTGAACCTACATTGAAGGTATTCACAGTGGTACGTCACTGTGAAGCCCACAGGACAATTTTAATGATTTGTGCTGTACAGCTCTTCAGCTGGGACTTGGATTCACTATGGCAAAGTATCAACCAAAGGCGGTGCGATGCACTCCTTTGCGCCGATCAAGTGATCGAAGCGGTCGAATCTCACCAATACACTATGTGCATGACTGACGAGGATGTGAAGGACAGCTACCTCGCATGGTTCACTGGTGGGTGCTTTGGGCCTTGAACGAACATCAACATTTACTCTGAGGATGTTTAGCTTTCAAGGAAACCTGTACTGCACGCTGTCTCACAAAAGGAGATGAGGCTGTTACTGCAAGCAATTACGAGGTGGCTATCAAACTATATTCAGCAGAAATCGGGCTTGACTCCTCGTGCAAGTCCCTGTTTGCACAATGCAGCAAGGCAAATTTGGAACGAAACCTGTGAGCAGCTCTGGGACGCGACAGAAGCATTTGATCTCACATTCGTATTTTCAAATCGCGAGCCAATCACCGTCGGTCTTTTACTATTTATCAAGGTACTCTTGTCGCTAAATATGACCTTTCTGATAAGGAAAATCTACTGAGTCCATTCCTCAAGCGCACTGAATGTGAATGTGCGATAGCTCCTGGAACTCTTCGGTCAACGAAACATTCAAGCACCGGCAACCTCTTGCATGTCATAGCAGCTGCGAACAATGCGAAGCAGGGGAAGCAACCTCACGCCGCAGATCATGGCACTCAGCCAGCGCTTGCATGTGCTCGCAAGGCGAGTGAAGAGGCGCGGAAGGCATTGTCACAGTCGTGACGTGTGGTGTGCTATTGATTTATTTTATTTTATTGCATCGTTATTTACGATATGACATACGATAGCCTTGGTTTCTGCGGCGGGCATGCGAAGATGACCCACTGTCAATAGTAGTTCTTTGTATACGATATCATCTGTAAGCCGATCCCCCAATCTTACCTTCTGTTACTAACTGAGCCCTCCTGAAGATTTCAATGATGCACAGCATCAAGCTACCAGGTACGCCAGTACAATTGCTGGACTGCAGGTTCTTCGTATCATTAATGAGCCCATGTAGTGCGACGGTACAGACCAGCACTCTTGCAGGTGGGCAGCCTGCCTGGACCATAGCTTGCACTGCTCCTTTACACAGATGTACTTGTAATTAAAATGTTGACGATTCGATCGCGGGAAAAATGTCACGTGATACATAATATTCGCAATACGATCTCTGATCAAGTCAACCCTCTCTCTCCCAATACCACCATCAAACATGCCTGCAACACAGAAGAAATCCAAAAGGACGCGCCTCCAGTTTTCTGGCCGAGCAAATGACCCAACTGCAGCAGGAGATCAGCTCATTACAGCATGAGATAAGTGTGAGTTTTGTGTGCTACCTTACGACGCGTGTTTGCAGGAAAGCAAAAGAAGCCTCATCGCGGGACGGACTCACTGCCCAAGCCCAAACGATTGATCCCTAAGCTGCCTGGGGCTCCTGGTAAGCGCAATGGATACTCAGTGCAATATGCAATGGGTCTAGGGACCGATAAGTGACAGTACAATGCCCTAATGGTGACTATATGCTGATTATATGCGCACAGAAATGTGTCCAAGTGAGCCTGGCTGACATTCTAACTTAAGGCGTCTACAAGACATTTATGTAGAACATATCTGAACCTTGATAAGACACGCCGTGGACAGGACGACAATGATATTTCCATTGTTGTAGCGAAGGTGAGTCGCATATAAGATTTGACATAACTTAATAGACTGACTCTGTATAGGTACAGAAAAAACACCTGATTCTACTTAAGTTCGCAAATGCATGGCCAATCCATGCCTGGATCCAGCAATACCTCCACAACCATAACAACGACCGAAAAAATCGACTGTGTAATGTAACTGTCATAAGTATTTCCGTAGTCGACCCCTTTCATGAATGCACTGACTGTACCTGTGCAGTCCCAGGATTGTGACAGCAGGGAGGACACAGACGACAATGAATGGGATGAAGACGACAATGAACAGGATGAAGATGACAATGAACAGGACGAGGACGACAATGAACAGGACGAGGACAATAATGAATGGGACGCGGACGCGGACGATGATGCAGATGAGGACACCAATGTGGATGCAGACAATGACAATGATGCGGACGAGGACACGGATCAGGACCAGGACCAGGACCAGGACGAACAGGACCAGGACGAACAGGACCAGGACCAGGACAAAGACCACGAGGATGAGGACGGGGATGAAGACCAGGATGAAGATGGGGATGAAACCCTGACTAATGATGGTGTTCAGGATGAGGGCACAGCCAACAGGGAGGCCAGCAACCAGGAAGGCCACGAGCAGGTGGCGATCAACCCAGCCAACAAGCATGTTCCTCCCCGCTTACTCAACCTATCGAGGAAGCGAAAGATGGTCATGTCATCAGATGAAGAAACCGAACCTATTCAACCCCCACCTCAGAAGAAGCAGGCGACCATACCCACTGCTGACGAGGACCTCCCAACCATCTGTCCGAGTGATGGGTGCAACGACATTGTGCCCTCACATCCTTCGGGAATGGTCCTTGTGAAGTACAAAGCATATCGACACTGCTTGCAGATGCCAGGTGGCGAATTCACACGCCAGACACTCAAGCTCGAGTTGGAGCTCTGCGCTGCCATCCAGAGCGACCTGCGGCGCGAAAGGTACATTCAAAGTGCTTACGATAACAGATGGCTATCCGAGATCAATTACTTCACCATACATCACTCTGTTTTGAAGCTCGAACCTGATCTCCGTCGACTGATCTTTGATAAAGCCACGAAGGAAGACTGCTTTGTTTACCAGACTCTTCTTACCGATCTACTCGAACAGGGCTACGGAGTTGAGCTTGACAGACGACTGGCTTTTCTTGCACACCTGAAGATATTTGATGTCGGACGCCCAATTTTCAACAAGGCACGGCCTGGATAGTGAGTCCTGACGCACTCTTGTGACATTATGCTAATGATCCATAGCTATGGTCCGAAAGGCAGTGCAGTCCTTCACGCAACCATCAACCAGCTATTTGACCCACAGGAAGGAATACCTACTGATGCCTTCGCCCCACTATCATATGAACAATATACGTATTTCATCCTCATCTCCTACATAGCCAGCCAACTCATTGCAGACGATCGGAGGTTTGTTGATGATCAGCCGTGCACACTTCAGCAAGCATTCAAACTCATGGTGGCCAGCACGGATGCTGGTGACGCACTCCAGGGCATCGACGAGGAAGGGAAGGATGAGCGATTTGATGACATCCTTATGAAGATTATGTTGAAACAGGTGACGGAGTTGGACTATCTGCCAGCAGTGTTGCAGCCAACAGCCCTGGCGCCTCAGCAGGAGAAAGGACGAAAAAAGGTCTGTCTCATCATTTTCTTACTTTAGCGAGTCTTCAATTTGTACTAGGCGAACAGGAAGGGTACAGTCACAGCTGATTCTGCCCGCCGGCGAAGTACCCGCCTGGTGAGTCGATGTGCATTACATAATTGGTCCGATACTCACAGCATGGTCAAGACTTTGTCCCAGCGTTAACAGAATTTGTGGTGTCACTCTGCTGTGCTTGTGCTCTCGAACCTCGCCGGCGTCCCCGTTTCTATACTAGTTGCAATTAATAGAGCTTCGCTTTAAGTTCATTAACTAATGTAATTCAGTGCTTTGTTCTATTACCTTGGTGTGAATGTCAGAACATAATTACAGCACATTTTCAGCACATTTTCAGAGTACAGTTTCAGAGTACAGTTTCAGAGTATCATTCCAGAGTATCATTTCAGAGCATGCATTCAGAGTACGGATTCAGAGTATGGATTCAGACCATCATTTCAGAGTTTGCTTTCAGAGTAAAATTTCACTGCAATATCAGCTGAAATTTCAGAGTAAAAAACGGCAATATCAGCACCTCGATTTCAGTACCTAATGCTATGAATTTCATGAAGTTATCATCTGATTTCACCCACTGAATTTCATTGGATCTACTATCCACAGTGAAGACCTCGTCAGGTTTGGGCACTTTTGCTGATGTAAAAAGGTTTACTACGTATACCCTGAAAGGCGCTAACGTCATCACATTGTTTGTTCAATAGTCAAATTTCTCGCTACCAATGCTCACTGGCAGGTGACCATGCAGATCCTACTGTACATTCAAAGTTCATTCTTGACCACCTCCGCTCGCTGTCTTGAGACTCAGTCTGGTGTACGCACATAATTCGGCCCTCGCTAAAAGTATTGGAGGGAGTGCTCTTGGTATTCTGGTTCACTAGCTGTTAGTGCGCAAACGCAAAATGAATATCGCATCTGATGGGACCTCCGAATCAGATCCCCTCCTACAGGAAGATTAAACACGAACTGACCTTCAGGTAAGTAGCTCAATTCCATCCTTTATGCAGTACATAGACTCATCGAAGTGGGTAACCAGATAGACCACACTCCCAGCGCACCACTCTGTTCCATCTGCGCCCAACTGGATTTCCACCAGATTCTCCTCGACGATATCCCACGGAACAAATCAATCCCCCTGGGCGGGCGGCGAGAGGAGCTTGCCAGAATTTATGAGAATGGTGGATGTAGTGTCGATGGCCGTGGTTCCTGCTCCTCCTGCGTGTCGTTATGTCGCCCTCAGCTACCTGTGGGGAGGCATTGGCGCGGAGCATTGGACGATGAAGGATAATATAGCAGAGCGCTTCATACCTGGCGGGTTGAACATAGCACACTTCCCTGAAACCATCACAGATTCCATTCAACTCGTTCGACAACTTGGCAAACGTTACATGTGGATCGACACTCTATGCATCATTCAAGATGATCTAGAGGACAAGATCCATCAGAAACACGCTATGGATTTGATCTATGGCGGGTCATATTTCACGATATATGCTGCTGGTGGTACGTCCGCTCGAGATCCTCTCCCAGGATTTCGTCCACGAACTAGAACGCCACAGCAGCACATCGCGGTCATTCAAGGACTTCATCTCGCCGTGCCTTTACCAGGACCTATCGAGGCGCTCACTCTATCCGTGTGGAACACGCGTGGCTGGACCTATCAAGAGCTCATGCTCTCCCGCCGAAGAATATACTTCACTGGGCAGCAAGTCTATTTTGAATGCAGACGAGATATCTTCTGCGAAGACGTCGTCGCTGAAAGCAGGCGCCTCGCGTCGTCCACCCAACCTTTACGGTATAAAGGTGCAGGAAACTTCACCTACCTTCAGAAACCCATGCGGGTGCTCTTCGATCAGTACATCGCGAGTTATATGTCTGCCATCGGGCTGTATACACGGCGTAACCTTACCGTGGAGTCAGATATCGTCGATGCTATCACTGCAATAACAAATGCCTTGACAAAAAGTTTTGAGCTTGGTGGGGGCAACCCCGCCAGAGCTTTTAACTTTGTAATGACGTTGACAGACCTCGAGTACGTCCTTGTCTGGCAACATGATCCACGCACGCCTCGTGTTCGTCGTTCGATTACTGGTGAAGACAGTTCACCCTGGCCTTCTTGGGCGTGGGCTGGATGGCGTGGCGCTGTTCACTACCCGGGGGAAGCTCTGTATGCCCACTTCGACAGTCATTCTGACCGACCGAGAGTGACGGAGACGGTTATCGACCCTTGGTACATCGTGGAGCATAATGGTGATACAGTGCAGCTTGATGTTGCGTTCACCGGGCATTTGTGCGTCCCAGGCCACAGGCATCGATGAACCCATATTCTTCTCCGAAAGGGATCTTGGAAGCATCACAGCTGAGGTTGGATCGTCATCGACGGCTGGAGCCAGGCACCCTCATATTCCGCACTACTTCCAGTCGCTTTAGTATCGTACGGGGACACGGTGGAGAAGACGTAAAGTCGAGTGAACGTTTCTACAACGATCTTTTCAATATCCTCTCCAACACTTCGACCTGGGTTGGCAGCGTCATACTGTCATTAGATCCTGCCCCGCCGGCTTCCCTTGAGTTCATTGTCCTTTCCCGTACTACTGCGGGCCCTGGCGTGTATGACGAAGAATGTCTTGGAAGGTTCTACTCTGGATGCATGTTATATGTGATGGCGGTGAGCGAGAGTGAGGGTTTGATGGAGCGCGTTGGGTTGGGTGTTATTCATGAGTCTCCGTGGATTGCTTCGGGTGCAAAGGAGAAGGTGGTGTTTCTTCGATGATAGTCACGTTATCTCGGTTTTATTGAAAAAAAAAGACATTTATTTTGTAAAGCGAAGACCTTTCAAGCAGTCGGTACGAATGAGATTAGGGAGATTACTAGTATCCCAAGTCGACCATGGAGCCAAGCCGGGTCTGTTTAAACGCATCATTGAGATTATTGAATGATGCAAGCTTCAGCAACGTGAAAATACCCCGGGGTAAAAGTAGTGTTGTGGGCAGAACCACTAGGTAGCACTAGTAGATAATACTAGAGTTCTGCCGTGCCAGAATCGCAAGGCAGAACTTTTTGTCCGTTATAAGAATCCATTAGTCAACACTAATGATGCAACATTCCAAATTTCTAATCTCCTTCCTCATCGCTATGGTGACCAGCTGGCAGCCAGGCAAGCCGTCGATAAGTGGGCTGCGGTGAGGGAAATTCAGTGAATCACGTGAATGTGGTTTACTGCATGCGTACGAGGATGGGGAGCTGGATATTTGGAACACCAAATTCGAGGTGTTACACACAATTGTGCAACGTGCTAATGGGGCTGCAAAATGCCACCTTGTGCTTGATCCGACGAGTCCTGGCGATATGATGGTCGCTATCACTATTGTTAATGATATCCATCCTTCTCCACCTTCTCAGGTGGAGCGTAGGACCAAACTGCTCAATTAGACTGCTATGGAGATCACGGAGGATCTAACGTGGCTGAACGCTTCGTCGTGATGCATCAGGTAGTAAGTCACCTATAATGGACTTGTAAGTTCGCTGATTGGGAAAGAAAGTCTTCTTGGCGCCAGCTGCAGCACGGAATTGAAAGGATAGGCGTCTTCCAACAAAGCTCCTCCACACTCGCTTGAGGCTGTTGTTGTCGTATTTGAATACAGCAGGTAGTAAGACCCTGTCGCAGGTTTGTACAACATATACACGATTTACAAAGTAGTTGGTTGGCTGATTAACCACTCTCAGTCTACCTACATCCACAAACTCAAAATGCTTTCGTGCCTTGGTTGACTATGAGAGCTAATCTCACCGCCGACACTTGACTATGCGTCCCGGTCAATGATCCAGAGGGCAATGGCAGTCGTGCTATCCAAAAGTTCTTCCATGTATGATTTATCGTACACGTCGCAGAACTACCAATCGTCCGGTCAGTTGCATGCCAATTCCGCGAATTGACTCACATCAAGATGGAGGTGCAATTCAGAGCGCAAGGTCCATATGTGCGTCATTCTGCAGGGCACGATGAACGGGATACGCTTATAAAATGAATGGGTCAACGCACGGACGATAAAAATCTGTCAATCTATGCCCGATCCTCATGTCCGAAATTTGCACCATTGGGTTCTGAGCTCCTATGGGCCAATTGAGAGGGAGGCTATCCTCGACCTTTTTGAGGTTGGTGATTGCGAGTGCATTTGGATTGTCTTGGAAATATTGACCGGATCCGATGTGAGGAAGATGCTTGTTAGACAGCCGGATCGAGTATTGCTCCTTGATCTTCGCCATGACCGCAAGTAATTGTGCTTTTGGACTTGCCTCCCAAGGCACGTCGCTCGCATAGACAACCATGGGGAAAGCGCACAAGAATGAGACATGATGCGAACGTGCGTCGTGGGGTGGAACTAGAAATCGTTGGTACGCTATACTGATGACCTCTCATCAAATTGCGTGATCACAGCGTCGAGTCTACTTACATTGTGAAGTCCAGTATAACATTTGCCTTGTTTTCACGAAGAAGTTCCGAGTGATGGGCCCTCAGAACAGTAAGTACTTGAGCTGCTTCAAAAAGCTGGGTGACAGTGAAGTCTGTCAACGCCAGTGCATCGAGAATTTCCTTGAACGTTTTTGCATCCAATATTCTATGGAGGCGCGCAGATGCCCCTCTTACAAGAACTTGATCTCGTTGTGGTATCAGACCTTTCAAGTGCTTTAGGGGTGTGAGTACTTGTGCTGGGGATGGGAGACAGCGAGAGCCATTCACCTGTTGATGTTCCATCGCCTGGCGTGCCGCAGTGTGTAGGGCCTCTACTCCAGCCTCCAAACCATCCCTTGGCCCTCCAGTGGCAGTGACAGGACCGACCGGAAGGTTTCTCCACTCTTGGCCCAATCAAGGGAGTCAAGGGACGGATGAGCGTCATTCGTAATGAAGTCAAAAATACGATAGAGAGCATTGTATATGATGAAGGCGTCCGCGAGATAATGAGCAGTGTGGAAAAAAATCGAGTGTAATCCACTGGGGCGTAGAACAAGGTGGCAACCGAAATGTTGCTTGATGATAAGCTCATCGCCATTTGTGTAAGGCAGCCGGACCTGATTCATGGAAAAGACAAAATCGTAGTCGGACATTGTTGTTCTGTGCACCGTGAGGCTTGCTTCCGCCCATTTCTTTGCATCTTCAAGTGTGCAAACGGGTTCATACGACCATGACCTCGCCATTGGAACGGTCGGATCTGGACCGTGTTTATCAACGGTCGCTGCTAGAAGCGGGGAAGAAAATCTAGGATCTAATCATCAGTACTGTCAAAAGTAACTGTATTAAAAGTACCTCATAAAACATAACGCGTTGTGGATAGAAGTCACTAGCTGGGACTGAGGGATGATGCATGTGAAAGACACTCCCATGCAAAATTCATTTGAACTTTACGATGTCAGGCAGGTTTGTTCCCAAGTCGTGTGTTTTGCGCCTGCTCACCCATCCAAGAGTTCAGACAAATCATGGTGCAACAACTCTGACCCATACAGAGGCCTGTGAAGACCAAGGTCAATTGGTGGAAACCGTGGAAAATGTGTAAAAGACCTCGTATAGAGTCCAGCATGGAGGGTCCATGGTTTCTCTTCTGCTGTGAGAGACATAGTGGCAGACAGGGAGGGGACGGCAAGGCTGTCAGCTGTAGTTCTCGCTGTCCATATAAAAGCCCCATCGGTAACTTAATTCCATCCAGCTACCATCTTGGACGTAAATGAGAAATGGTACCGTCTGTTGCACTGCCAATCAGTTTGTATCAATGCGGTCTAGTGATGTGTAGGCCGCGCCTCAGGCGCCTCATGCTCTCGGGCCAACCCCCCACTAGGCCAGGCAAAGTCAGGTCTACACTCCCTGTTTGCAAGGGGCCAGCCGCAAGGCCCCTGAATGGGGTTGCGACCATGGATAAGTCTGCTACGAGCCCACGATGTTCAAGGAAGCGAGGTGGAATACAGAATTGGCAGATCGATGGGAACGACGATGGACGAACAATGTGGTGAGATAAGGTTTAATAAAAACGATTCTGATGCAGATAGGCTGACAGATCTCGATAGCTCCATTATTTTCAGGACTCGGCGAGAGGGTGATTTGATGCTGATGAGAGAGATATACAGGTAGACTGGAGAGTCAAAGCATACAGTGGGAATACGTATTGAATCTCTACGAGCAAGCGGCGGGAGGTCAAAGCACTCGTGAAAGAGGTGCTAGCAACGAAAAGATCAATGATGTCCGGGCGTGAAGGTGGACTCCTGTGAATTTTCTTGGAGATCGGTCAATTTCTGCATTCTCTGAATGAGATAGACAAACAGGTCCTGACTTCTCCTCCACACAACTCCATAAGCGGTTAGTTGTGAGTCACCTAGATCAGGTCCAAGGCGGCTATCGGTATTGTAACTGCTCACCGTTATCCGTCTCCATCATCGCCATAGCCCTGATACTCCGTCGCGACGAGTATTCATCACTTTGTTTTGCCAAGTTTTCCCTGCTGATCGTGTTGAGATACCCACAAACCGCGTGTGGATTTCGGAGGTGAGTGGGGTGAGTGAAGTGAGAACAGATAGTGCGATACAGTAAGACCCAAGGTGAAGTGCATAGCCTGCGGCGCTACCAGCTCTTCAGGCATACACGTGGAAATCAGAAATTGCAGACAATATGTCCATAAGAGAGTTATTTCAGTATGCATGTATGAATAATCTAATCACCTACACAGGTAAGTAAGACCCTAATGCCAATGCAGATCGCGTACTGAGCGCTTGATTGAAAGGCTTCCGTGCATCTTCAACAACGCTCTCGTAGGTGATGGTGATGTCGTCAGGGACCGCAAGTGCAAAGCAGGAACCTGTCTCGATAATGAGGCTATATGAAATGCCAGGCAATGGAAATGCAAAGAAGATTGTCGACATCTTCCCGAGGCACCAACAAAGCCCGCAGTGCTATAGGAAACATAGAGCATCATACAGGTCATCTGGCAGAATGCGGAGATCCTGGGACGTCGGAGAATGGCATTGCATGTTCAAGACAATGAGATCTTTTTTGCGGCTGGTGAACCCGGAATTCTTAGTCTCCCGTAGTCAGACCCATCGAAGGAAGATAGACATTACTTCGTATTGAAGAATTATTTTTACACACCAAAGACTATAAGCAAATGTTGACCAAATGGCATGCAGCCTGAAACGAAGGTAGCGGTTGGTAAGCAGGCCTATGTAGCAATGACAAAATTCACCCCCCTCCGGACCTGGGTTTGTCTAAATTTAGATCACCTCAAAAATAGACTTGGTATGGATATACTCCGCATTCTACATGTGCTTGGTCTGCCGCAGATAAACAACGATGTTACGTTGGACAGATGCAAGTAAATAATGGCACACCTGGAGCTCCCATTCGGGATTGACGAAGATGTTGGGTTGAATGAGATAGTACTGGCCCAAGTCGAAGTTCGAAGTACGGTACAGGGATTGTAGGAAATTTCTAGCGAGCCTCCGAAGTCAATTTAAGACATTTTAAGGGTACTTTTCACACTGGTACCATTTTAAGTCACACTAATGATGTACAATAATATTTCAAGGCACTTACAATGCCTTGTACAATCATTCAAAGGTGGTGGTGTGTGACAAGCCTAACATTTCATTTTAAGGGAATGAAATGATCACATAAGCATTGTAAAGCCTGACAAGGTTAGCCCGAGTAATTTCAAGAGTTTTTGTGTGTCTCAATGCCCTTGCAAGACTAACATCCAGAATTTCAAAATAATAATAATGATACTGATATTGGGTGACTTCCCGCAGGCTAAATAATCCAGATTATCATATACCGGAGTGCGAAAACAAATTTCAAATAGAGCATGTAAAATACTCTGTAGGAAATAGTCAACCGGAGGCTAAAGGATAATCTGGAATATCTACTGAAGTGTTACCATACTTGCCATGGATGACATGACAATTCAATTAGCATTCCAGGCTCTGGAGAACGAGGCAGGGTTAGAACAAGATGAGGATGAAGAAGCTGCACTGGCAGTTGCCACCACTGTCCTGGTCAGAGTTGAGCTAGCACACCAAGATCGTATCGATGAACGAAAGCCACGATGGCTATACCTTTGCTGTCCACAACTCCTTCCCAACCCATGAAAGGACACCCCATGGCAGGCCCTATTTGCTACCCAAAACAACCGAGCACTCATCACAACAATGGGCTTTGATGTTGAGACATTTGCCTTCATCCTCACTTCAGGCTTTGCAGAGCAGTGGTATAACACACCAATTCCCTGTGATGATGTCAGTACCCATGCTGATCCTTATGTTGAGCTGCCTGATGTCTTGATGCCAGAGGGGCCCTGGGCCTTGTCTTGCACTACCTTAACTCTACCATGCACCAGATAAGTTTGCAACAGATCTTTGCCATCATCCCATCGACTGTAACACACTACCTTTCATTTTCGCTATGCATACTTCTCCTCACTCTCCAAGGCATGCCAGATGCCCAGATCCGTTGGCTACGTGGAGCCGAGTTTGAGGAATGTAGTAGTCTTGTTGTGGCTCGCCATCCACGACTTATTGGTGCCTTTGGTAGCATTGATGGGCTCAAGCTTCCCATCCAGATATCCAATGACAATGATATTGAGAATGTGACCTTCAATGGTTGGTTATCAGAGCATTTTATAAGCTCCATCCTCACATTTTCAGCTGAAGGTGAGTTGAATTACTGTATGAATGATGGAGACTAATGACTTATATTTCAGGTGTAATTATTGCTCCCTGGACTAATGCTCCAGGGAGCTGGCATGATTCTCATGTGGCAAAGCAAATATACACTGTCCTTCAAGACCGCACACCTGATGGCTACTATATTGTGGCAGACACTGCATTCCCTCGTGGGAGCAATGTCATCGAAGGCTGCATCCGTGCACCCCTCAAACAGGGTCAAACCCTGTGAGGGACAGCAGCTGAGATTGAGGAGCACATGGCCTTCAATCGTGAATTGCTGTCATATTGGCAAACTGCAGAATGGGGCATGTGAGGCCTCCAAGGAGCTTTTGGCAGGCTGCAAGTGCCACTTGATATCTCCAACAAAGAATTCCGTGGTGATCTTATTGAATCATGTGTTCGCCTACATAATCTATGAGCAATACAGGTGGGAATCAACCAGATATGCACTGTCTACATGCAGCAGTGGCAGGCTATGGACAAAGATGTTGAGGTTTGGCGTGATTTTGAGAACATGCTCTTTTCAGAGCAAAGGCAGAAGGATTGTGTTATGAGATTCCATTGTAACATTAGAGTACCAGTAAAGTAGTACTCGCACAAAGATGAGAGGTTCAACAAACCTCTGGTGTACCCGCATGGTCCACTACACTAGTATGCCAATCATCCATTGCTTTTTCCTTGCCCTTTTCAACACGGCTTTCAGCCATACATTGTGAAGCCACATGGTGTTGCACATTCAAGCGCTCTCTGGCCTCCAATTCACATGATGGCCCTCCAATGGGTGTGACATCATCATGACTTGGAAAGGGTTCAAACTCCTCATCTGATACCCACTGGAGTGATTGCCCTCCGTCTGGGAACCACTCTGACACCATGGACTTCTTTCTGGGCAGGACAGGAGAGGGTAGTTTTTGGTGATGGCCACCTCCAGTAGACATTTGCAACATCTCCACATGCATCTCTGCCTTGTCGCAGGCCCGTTCAGTATAATAAAGCTTGTCACGTACATCAAAGAGTTGGTTACAAAGATTTTCGGTGGTTTGCTGCAAGTCACGTAGCTGCTGAGCCTGTGTCATAAGTTGAGTATTCGCAAGAGTCCGACTTGCTCGCTCTTCATCATGAGCTCGTTGTGCACTTGGATCAAATGCACCCAATAGACGAGTCAGTAGCTCTGACACAGCAGCACCCCATGCATTGCGACGGGGAATAGGAGCATCTGTGCGAGTGGCCTTCACAACTGCTATGTGCTGTGGCTCATCTGGACCAGATGAGTCCATCTGACTGCCATCATCATTGTTGTCAAACTCCTTGTCATTGAGATCACGTGTGCCTGCTCGTTCATTGATGAGCGAATCAATGTGGTGTGCCCGCATGACATCAGGGGGGCAGACTCCATCCCCAGTGGGTTTGGTAGTCTTGACGAGCTGAGAGCAGGTTAGATATGACACCCCCTGAGATGAGAAGTCAAAGCTTACCTGTTTGAATTTGGTTTCAATCGAATTGACTTTGCGATCAGGATGGCCATGGGTCTTAGACCACTCAGCAAATCTGGTATGTACCACAAGCCAGCCTTGCTGGTCAAGTGGAAGTTCATCTTTGACAAAGTTTAGGAGGGCTTTGACATCAGCGGAGGTATAATTATTGGACCCGGAAGGGCACCCGCGTTTGTTGGCCTTGGCATCATCATCATCCTCAGCAACCTCACAAGTCCATTTCATCTTGCCTTTGCCCTTCAATGTTTGCACCTTGCGATGAGCACCTGCAGTTTTAGGTACCGCAGCATGCCCCAGTGCCTCCGTGATGGTCACTGGATCTGTGAGGTCTTGATCACCATTGTCGGGCAATGGTCGGAGAGCTGGATCCACGACTGCCTCATGCAGGGAGATGCATGAACCGCTTGGCATGGGAGGAATGGAAGCATGGTGGGTTGTAGCTGGAGTGAGAGACATGAGACCACGGAGACCTTAATAGCCAATGGGATCAGGCCTCAAGGTCTGCGATGAGAGCACAACAGTTTGCTACAGCATTAGTCTCAACATCACAACAGTGAATAGAAATGATGCACTTGTGCAATACCCGGGTGTGGCTGCCAAGTGCCAAGGTAGTCATAAGCATATGCATTGCCTGCATCATCATAGTGCAAGCCATGATCAAATCTTGGAGGTGGAATGTCAGACATTGACGGAGGTAAAAAGAATGAATACTGACCTCATGCCAATCAGAATACAGACTTTATATGCCAGTGTACCATCACCTGGCAAAAAAAACCAAACAGGACACTCGTAGCCATACATTGCAGTCAAATCGGCAGGAATGTGCAGGTTGCAGCCTAACGTGAAGGTGCGCACATGGATGTTAGGGTTGGTGAAAAGTAATTTCTTGAGGAGAGTAAAGGATTGGATGACAGTTGTCCAACAGTCCAACATGAAGGCACCCATGCAGATTTTAGGGTTGGTGAAAACAAACTTCTTGAAGATACTTGAGGATTGGATGCTTGTCGTCCAATGTACATCAACTCAGATCATTACAGGAACAGTGCTGCCATGCTGGTGCCACCCAGGTAGCAAAGGCGAAGAGTATGGGCCTGGGTCGTTGGCATGGCGGGCCATACTGTGGCATCTGAAACAAAGGGAAGCCTGAAAGGTGATTAGCATGAGGGGTGGTCACTGACTCACTACAAAGCTTCTAGTGGAATGACGGCAGGAGTGAGTCTCAGTATGAAGCCACAGCTTGAGGCCAGAGGGCCTTTACCATGCAGTGCTGGACAATTCTGAGTGGCCGACAGCGCATTTGTCTAGCTTATGTCAGTGGATATTGCAGGTGTGAGTAGTCCTAAAATGGTAATTGTGATTTATTCTGCATTGCTAAAATATGTAAGGGGGGGGGGGGGGTACCCCCCCCCCCCCCCCCCCTACAGATTTAAGGTTTATTTGAGGGTAGAAAGCCTAGTTGAATTTCAAACAATGTCCGGCTTTGTGGCACACCTTCCTAAAGCGTGCAATTATAATCTATTCCACTTTATCCTGGATTATTTGAGCCTGCAGGAAGTCACCCATTGATATTGATACATGTAGTACATAGTATCAAAAATACAATTATTTTAAAAATTGGAGGGGGGGGGAACATTCAATGTATGAATATTAAGGGGAACACAGATGATATCATCTTGGAGTGAGAGGAGGGAGTGCAGAAGGGGGGGTAACAGACAACGCACCAGAACCTGGTTGACTTGTGGCAGGTGGGAGTGCTGTGTGGGGGGAGACAGAGGATGCGCCAGAACTTGGTTGACTTGCAGCAGATGGGAGTGCCTGTTGGGAGGTGACAGAGGATGCACCAGAACTCGATTGACTTGTGGTGGGAGTGCTGTGTAAGGGGAGGCAGGATGTGGGTTGACTTGTGGCAGATGGGAGGGTGTGGGGGAGCAAGCATTTTTGACGATGGCAAAGCAGATCAAGGATAAGTGAGCAAGATTTATTGCCATAACATTCATGTGGCTCACCTGACTTGATTTAAGGATGGGATCAACCTCAACACCCGCAGGTGGTGCCAAATCGTCAACAGTTACTCCAGGGCAATCTGTTTGGCAACAGCAGTCAGGCTCGTGCTGCTAAAGGTGGGTTGTAATTTGCTTGGGGTGGGGCAACAGAGGACGTGCTGTTACACAAAACCTCTTGGATGAGATCCAGCAGTGCTAAACCCAGCAAGGAGTATTTGTAGTGTAGCCTCCAGTGCTAGCCCAACAAGGAGCTTGCCTGTGCTCGGTCTGAGTAAGGGTTGAGGCCCTTACTTGCATAGAGTTGATTGGAGATTTCTCAAGGATACAATCCAAGAAAATGGAGTTCAACTCAAGAGTATTGTCTCAAGAGAAGATGGTTCTTTGCACTAAGGGAGTTCTCTTAAGTAAGAGAAGTTCAGACCCAAAGACAAGTACAAGATGAGAACCAAGTAGATTCAAGTTAGAGAATCTATCTACAAGAGGACTTGTATATATATGTAGGTAATGTTACCAAAGCATCAGTAAGGGTTCAGGGTAAGTATGAGTCAGAACTGGTTGAATGGTAAGGGTACAGGGTATGGTGAATCATAGTCATGAAAGGGTAAGAGGTGCTGGTTGAATGGCAAGGGCAAGTGTAGGGCATAGGGTTAGATAGAAGCAGCAGCTTCTATGATCTAGGGGAAGAAGTGAGAGCTTCTTGGGTTTCAAGACAATGCAATCAAAAGAAAGAAGATATAAATGGAAATGTAACCATGGTCCAGGTTTAGATGAGTTTGCACAGTTTAGCCACATGTTGATGGTCATGTGACATTGGTCATGCAAGTCATGACAGTTTAACCTTGTGTCAGAGAATGAAGAATGAAATAATATGTAACACTCATGTTACTGTAACACATGCCAGAACTTGGTTGACCTGCGGTGGGAGTGCTGTGTGGGGGAAACAGAGGATACGTCAGAGTCATGATAGTCTGAGGTGTGTTTTTGAAGGATAGAGTTGGTGTTGGAAGAGACATAATACTGGCAATTGCTGCTAGTGTGCTTGTTGTATGCACATCAAGACCAATATAGCTATCTAATTGCAGATAGCTACTAATAATGCGGAGGAGTTTATACCCTTCTGGGCTGGTCCTCTGGTTCAAGACATTCACTGCCAAATAAAAGGCTTGCTGTGCAGCAGTTAGCATTAGAAAGCTGAAAACCCCCCAATATGTACCTTAGATAAGTCTTGCATCTTGTTGCCATCACTGAAGGTGATGTGAATGATGGTGCTGAAGTGATTAAGGTTGCACCATTGAGGGAAACCAGCAACCCTACCAGTGAAGGACATGAATATACATGAATTGCAATGTGAGTGACTTACTGTTTCTCAACTTTTGACTCTTTGCCATGCATAAGTGCTTTGAGGATCTTCTTCAACTCCTCAAGTAGGTGCTTCCACATACCAAGGTGGAGGGCATGCAGGTGGTCAAAACTGATGGCTTGATGGGGATCAGAGTGCATGATAAGCCAAAAAACATTCTGTTGATGAGGTATAATTAGCAAAGATCAGGATTATATGGGATAACCAGATATGAAGGACAAGGGTGGGAAGGAGGTCTGTATAATAGGGTTATTAGTAGACAAGTTTTCACTGGACTGTGCAAATGTGATATTGTGATTGGTGGCCAGACTCAATGAATGAGTGAGCGGTAGTGCAAGCCATTAGAACTGAGATAATGAAAACACAGAAGAGAAATGAGAATAAATATTGCTGAGAGCTTACTGCAACAGCATGCAATCCTAATGCCTTGAGTGGTTCTTCACCTTGGGCTTTGCTGACCTTATAAATGTTGAGTGCAGCTATCACTTCTTCCACTGATCTAAATGCGAACATCTTCAACAGCTTGCTAAACTTCTTGAGCGGTATGAGACAAACCAGACAGGGACATTTACTATGGTGGCCACGAATAAGAGACATGATCCCTCTAAATATCAGATTGTGGGCATGTGTAAAACAATTAGTACAGAGAGATATAGAACATACTGTTCTTTATAATCAGCTGAAAGTATCAGAAGAATGGGAAACAGCCAGCACATGATCTTGTCATAGCAATTGTGGGAGTAATCAGACTTTGAGTATTGCATGACCAGTTCCAAGAGTTTGAAGAATGCCTCATGCCATACAACACACTTGAGGTTTACAAACCCTGGCTTGCCTTCTTCATCTGCACCTTCGGATACCTGCAATTATAATGTGAGTACCATAATATCAGAAGATTCAATCAGAATGTTGACATATGATAGGCAACCACCCGATGACACGGCCGCTGCCAATGCCCTCACTGTTCCATATACTAACCAGCAAATTTGAGCAACAAACAACAGGATGTCCCTTTGTTGTGCCATGGGACGACAGTTTCGTCTTGTCTGCATACAGGATGAAGCAGAATGGAGCGGCTTTCAGACCATTGGGAAGGCAAGACTGATTAATGTTGAGTGAAAGCAGATAATGATATTAAACAAATGTCATGCACCTGGACATCCCACCATCAATCACCTGTCCAAGGCTCATTGTAAAAGCATTCAAACTCCCTGCTGTTATGCTTGAAAACACATTGCGCATCCCAGACAAAATGTGGAGCGAGTAGTGGATTAGCTAACAAATCAAGGGCCCAGTTCCAGAGAGGCAGCATGTGCATCTCATATACTTGTTGTTCTTTTTTGTAGGGAACAGTGATGTTGTGTTTTATAAACTATGTCACAAATATATCATACAAAATATTAGATTTATTAGTAACATACCAGCATAACCTGAGCGGCCACATGTTCCCAAGCCTTGCACAAACCATTATCATTTGTGAGCGTTGTTCAGCTCTCGCCTCTCGATATGCAACCAATGAGAGCAAGTAGGTCATCAATATGCAACTTGTTGAGCATGGCATTGAGCATGATCTCCGCAAACTCAAAGTCACCATGGGAACAAAAAGGATGCCAAGGCTCTTCATCCACAGGAAGATCTTCTTCATGATGTGTATTGACACCAAACTCCTTGAAGGTTTGAAGGAGTGGTTCATGGCCAGTGGAAGGATGATACTCTATTTTGAATTTGATGGGTCGTTGAAGAGAGATCATAGGTTGTAACTCAACAGAACCTTGCTGGCTATTGACTATGTAGAAGAATCAATTAGTGATACAAATAAATATGGTATACGCCTACCTGGACTGCCAGCACCCTCGAAGCTCCTGTTGTAGTTCCCATTGTAAGCTTTGGCTGCTGGCAGTGCAGGGTCTGCACCTCCTGCAGCTTGTTTCATGCTTCTTGAACTTCTTGCTACAATGCAGGCATGAAAGTTGCCTGGTCAGTGTTTCTTCTGAGAAGTTATATTTGCTTCTATAAGTACGAGAAGGACCCATACCAATAGCAATGTGGTAGTACTGATTTAAGTGAGATATGAGGCATTAGTGGTGCTCAAAGTTAACATCATAGAAATTTTCAAATGTAAAAATTTTGTGACTTGCTGGTAATTGAAGCTCTGACACTGACAAATCAGCCCCCATACCTTGTACCATGACTGTCATCATATCTATAGCATTCTGCAACTACATCTATGCCTCAAGAATCAGATCAAAAAAAACTACTTCATACCCTCAAACAAATGACTAATGACCTTACCATTGCACGATGAGTTTATGGTTGATCAGCTACTAGATAATGACTCTGATGAAGACTCTGATAAGGAATCAGAGATTGGTGCTCATAGCAGCTCAGATATCAGTATACGGACTGCATCACCAACATGGCCAGACTCCCCAGTGTCCCCTATGTCGTCCATCACATGTCATGGATTCCAAATACAAATTATTTTTCGTTCCTCAGCTTTCCTCCAGCTACTTCTAGTTACTGAACCGGTCACGTGACTTCACTTCCCATCACATCTTCACCTCTTCACATATCACCTGTTGTTTCTCTGATTGGTTCCCCAACTCCACAGGCTAGAACAATCTTGCTTCTGAAAGAAGTACTGGTCAGATCTTGGGCTTCTATTTAGTCACCATCTGACTCATTGCTTATATATCATGATGTCATGCTCAGTCATCCGCAGTATCGTACAACTCTTTTATCATTAGCTGATTTCTTTCACACTCAGATATCTCCTCTTCAATGTTATGTATATAAGTAGGTTGGTTAGCATAAGTACTCCTTAGACTTAACCTCTTCATTTCCACACTGGTGGTAGACTTAGATGTTCACGCTCAATCCTATCTTTGATCTATTCATCAACTGTGACCGAGTCCTAGTGGTTGTGTGTTAGACTTTGCCATTCGGTGAACTCTAGTCATAACATTAGGTTAAGTCTTCTTACCACTCTGACTTGAACTTTGTCTTGGACATTGCCATTCTTGACAAACTTCATCATGCTATTCTGCTGAGATTTATCTTACAGATTACGTTTAAAACTCAATCATTATTCCCCGACACATTTTGTTATATCAATCTCTTTACATTACTCTTTAGTAGAAGTGAACCAGGCCCTTGTCTTACTATGAGCCACCAGTTCATAAGGATCAGTGACACTTAGGTCCTGTTTCCGTACGTCTACAGTTCAGCCCAAAACCCTGCCAACTGTACGCTACATATCTGCTTTCTACGTAACAGAATGGCACTTGTGACTGTCCTCTCACAGTCTAGTTACATTACTATAGGAGCTTGTGGGTATTAAGCAGACCCAAAAGTTCACTGCATCTTTCGTGAACTCCTCTCGAGTTCTACTTAGGTTGACAAACCACTACATGCGCTGTATTCACACCTTTGTTATAACAGCACCTCCATCCAGATCCCATCTCATCAGGGCTAGAGCTCTCACGCTGCACGACAACTCCTCCTGTCTAGCAAACAACTGTCCATTCTTCAATGTCCGAGAATCTAGGAGAAACTGGGATAACCGCTTCAGAGAATATAGAAGTGCCAATGGCTCCGCCAGTAATACCACCAGTAGCAGCTCCAGACAGGGATCAAATTCATTCTCTGGCACCGCAGGGATGGCACAACCGGGGCCCAGTCATATCTGTAAAACCATCCACCACCACAATCGAAGGCCCTTCTGCACCGCTAGGCATCTCAGGCCCTGGAATGACTACCATCACCCACCAGGACATTTCGAATGCAATCACCACCATTGTCGAAGCAGAAAGGGTATTCACCAGAGCCTTGATAGACCAACTGCAGAGGGAGATCAACAAGCTTCAGGAAGGCTTGGTGCACGCGAACGACAAGAACACAGACCTGAGGATCAGGGTGAGGGATGCAGAGAACACAATCATGGATTTGCAAACCTCATCTATGATGAAGACCCCAGGCGCTATATCTGGGACTTCAAGCTCTGATCTCAAAATGGCAAAACCCATGGAGTTCACTGGAGAAAAGAACTCCATTGATGTTGACACCTTCCTCACTCAGCTTGAGATATACTTCATGGGTTATCCTGGAGCATCAGAACAACAGAAGTGTACATGCCTAATGTCTTTCTGTTAAGGACCTGCAGCAAAATGGGCGGAGAGCATTACACCCATGGCCCTTAAAGGTGGAGTCGGTTCTTATGATGCCATCAGGAGAGATATGCAAGTCATGTGGAGTATCATCAATAAAGAGGAGAAAGCAGCAAGGGAGTTAGAAGCTCTCCGACAGGGGAACCACACCATCGTGGAATACATTTCCCTCTTTCAGCAGAAACTTTCCTTCTGTCATTTCTCCAACTACGAGTTGATGTGCAAACTCCGCTTCGGACTAGACCAATGGGTTAGGAACCAATTGGCCCATATCCACCCTAACAGAAAAGACACACTGGAAGGGTTGATTAGGGAGACACTCATCATCAGGCAGAACCTAGAGGAACTCGACAACGAGAAGAAGAGTGACTGGACACCCCGCCATCCATGGCAAGGTGCTGCTGCAACATCTGCACCACATCAGGAAAAACTGTATCTCTATATAGAGGACCATCCTCTATATAGCCCTGATAGCACACCACAGCTCTATACAGTCTATGGCAAGCTATCACAGCGCTATAGACCAGTATAGACATCATGAAAGTCTATATATTACCATAAAGTTTGGTAAGTGTATTTAGAAGTAAAACATTTCAACAACTATAGACCCCAGTAGACCGTGGGAACTTTTTTCGATGAAAACCAAAGTTGTAGTCCTTGTCAAGGGAAGTCTATCCATAGTCTAATGACTTCAATAGGTTAAGATCCTAGTGAGTTACAAGGAAAATACTCGAAATTGAAGGGTTCAAGAAAACAACTTGACCGTGGGAACTTTTTTCGATGAAAATCATAGTTGTAGCCCTTGTCAAGGGCAGTCTATCCATAGTCTTATGACTTCAATAGGTTAAGATCCTAGTGAGTTATAAGGAAAATACTCGAAATTGGAGGGTTCAAGAAAGCAACTTGACCGTGGGAACTTTTTTCGATTAAATCAAAGTTGTAGTCCTTGTCAAGGGAAGTCTATCCATAGTCTAATGACTTCAATAGGTCAAGATCTTAGTGAGTTATAAGGAAAATACTTGGAATTGAAGGGTTCAAAAGTGTTAAGGTACACCTTATATATGTAAGCAAAAATGCGAAAATTCACCTTATGTGTATTCAAAATCCTAATGCTAACAGTCAATTTCATTGTCTTTTTCTTACTGTCATAATCCTAGTCCTATTAACCAAAAACTCGAAAATTCACCAAGTCTTGTGTTGTGGCTTTGTTTGGCACTGCTTATGTAAGCAAAATGCGGTCAACCAACAAGTCTTTTCCCATTCTTTCCTTCCCCCCCCACTGCCCCCTCATTAGATTATCTTCCATATTTTTCTTACAATTTTCGAGTTTTTGCCTCTCTTCTCTTCTTCTTGCTTCTCTATCCTTCTCTTGGTGTTGATGTTGTTGGTGCTGGTACTGGTGCTGGTGCTTTGAACTCTGGTAAGTCTCCCTCCATAATTTTCGCATTTTTGACTATTTGACTAATCTTTTTTCTAACCCTCTCCTTCTAGCTCTCTTCCCTCCTGCTCCTCCTCCCCCCAACTATTTTCGCATTTTTGACCATTTGGCAAGTCTTTTCTCTGACTCTCACTTCCTCCTGTCTGATCCTCTCCTTCTAGCTCCCTTCCCTCCTCTTCCCTCAAGAATTTTCGCAATTTTCACTATTTGGTAAGTCTTTCTTTTTTTTGTATTCATCTTTCCTCTCTGATTCTTCCTTCTAGTTCTCTTGCCTCTTCCTCCTGTAATTTTCGCATTTTTGCCTGTTTTGTAGTTATTAGTTTACATGTATTGTAGTAGTTGAAATATAATTTGGAATTTTCGCTTTTTTTTAATTTTGAGAACACTATCATGGCAACAAACAGCTATTAAGAGAAATTTTTGCTTTGTGTTTTGAGCTATAATAGCTACAATAGTTGTGGTATGTTCCACCCAGCTATAGCAACTTTAATAGAGCTATATAGCACTATACACTGGTGTAGTAAGCCTGCACAATTGGGCACTTGGCTATACGAGCTATAGGGCTATGGAGTCTGTATAGCAGTCTATAGTGCTATGGGTGGCTATATAGCCTTACCACATTTTCCTGATGCAGTAGCACCCAAGACCACATTGCAAGGAGGAAACATGATGAACATTGATGCAACCAGAACAGGAGGTAGACCCCGACCTCAAGGACAACCAGGACATGATTTCAAATGCTATCGCTGCGGAGAAGATGGGCACATGGCTCATAATTGTACAGGAAAGCCTCTTGACAAGGGCAAAGGACCAGCTGTCGGTGCCATCAAAGAAGGAGAAGTTCCAGCTGTGAAACTGCTCACACTGGAAGATATTAAATGCATCGTAAACAAGAGGATCTGCCTCTCCACCATATACAACCCAGAGAAGAAGGGTTTTTAGATAGATCAAAGTTGACTGCAAACTTACATAGATCAGAAGAATCGTTTCTCCATTCTCGGTGACTCGGCAATCATGTTTACAGAAGTATTAGAAGTTTGTTCTGGGAATAAACGAGAGCGTTTTTACTTGCTAGTTACGTTGGAAGGAAAACAAAGGAAAGCAGCCATCAATGCTCTAGTAGACTGCGGAGCAACAAATCTCTTCATCAGCGAAAGATTTGTAGAAAAGAACCAAGTCCAAACCAAGCAGTTGTTGCGAGCACTGCCAGTCCATAATATTGATGGAACTAAAAACTCCGCCAGACCAATCAAAAGCTACACCAATTTGAAACTCATGATAGGGGATCATGAGGAAGAAGTAGCTTTTCTGATCACAGATTTAGGAACC